TTATCAAATGAAATAATTATTTTTTAATTGTTATAAAAGACCATAATATAAATGTCATAAAATAATATTTAAATTTGTATTACAAAAACAAAACAAATTAAATAAAAAAACTACAGAACATTATTATGATCAAAGTAGTCATGGCCGTGTTTTCTGGACCCGTTGGATGTGGCTGCATCCCGAGAGCCACTCGTCTCTCGTTCAATGCTCGCAGCATTGTCGGATTCTCCGCTGCAAAGAGAAGTAGGAGATCTACATTCCATTAAGAGCAGTGTGAACTTCTTGTCATAGGTATTATTCAGGGTATACGGTCTAGGTGTGAGACATATTTTTTTAATTGTTCAAGTGGAGCGAACAAGTGTTTAGGGGTTCCGATTTCTCTGTAGAGGATGCAGGATATCGCGCAAAATTACAGGGGAGGATGGATCCATTGATCTCCACCGACCCTACTTGTTTTCTCTGCAGAGCAATCGCTCATCGTTCCTCTTTTCTTTGACAGGGCACTCTACTTCTTTTAGATCATCCTTGTTCACACTGTTTCATTTCCATTTCAGCTTTTTGCTTCTCTGATCGACCAGGAGCACTATTTTGGTTCTTCTCCTTCTCATCATTTTTCAGAACTCCTGTGACATAAATAATACTGATTTTTTTTTCTCTTTTTTGACTGATGAGTGTCATTAACATTAGGATTTTTTCTCATAAATCATAAAATCCGAGATCCTTGATGGGAGCAAGCAGGTGGCTGCTCTCATTTTGGAGCATCCTTTAACAGAGCAACTGCGTCTTGTTCTGTCAGGCTGCTCCGCGCCAGGTAAGTATCTCGAACAAAATAATTTGTATTCACCACTGTCTCCAACAGTAGCCATGAATGTCCTTCCAAATACCAAAGGCATCTCATGATCCTTATTCATCTCAACAACTTGAAACTCAGCAGGAACAACGCATTCCCCTACTTGGACATGAAGGCAACGGATGGTTCCATATGGGACTGCTCTGGAAGACTTTGCAAAGGTCAGGGTCAGCAAGAACGCTCAACACCAGCAATACCCAAATCGTCTACAATAGCCTTTGAGGCGAGATTCACACAAGAACCAGAGTCACAAAGAGCGTCCTTGAAGGTTGTTCCTGCGATGGAACATGGGAAACCAAACTTTTCAGGATCATCAACCTTAGACAATACCTTAGTGCTGGTGTAGACAGTGCTTTGGTATAGACGACTTTGATCTCCTCATGAGTCTCTCTAAATTTTTTAAAGAACTTGAGCAATGGGCAAATCTGCAGAGCATCTTCAAATACAAGTTCTTTAGGAAGCCTTCTCACAATCTTGTTAAAACCTGTCAGCTGCTCTTCACTAATGGGATCCATCAGATATCTGGGTGGGATTGGGTAGGGAACCTTAGGAACATAGACTCGATCTGGTGGAGTCTCAGCAGATTCGTCGAGAGCAGTCTCTACAGAGCTAGTAAGTTGCTCTGTTTCGCCCAGAGCAGTCTCAGCAGACCGCTGCTCCATTGCTCTTCCCTCAGCTTTCTCACATCTCAGCTATGTTGCATTACAGTGCTCAACCCTGGGATTCATGACACTCTTTCCATGAAGGGTTTATTGCTGCTTCTTAACAGTTTCAGCAGTTTGAGCAAGCTGAACATCAATCCTTTTTATGTGGTTGCTCACAGTATCATATTTTGAATTCAGCTCAGCGCACATTTTGTCCATTCTAGTGTTGATCTTGCGGTAACCTGATTCAGTGCCTTTCCCTAAATTTGCTGACCCTGCAGCAATTGTTGCATCATCATACCCCAAACCTTTCAGCTCATCTTGCGGACCACTGGTACTAGCTGGAGCAGCCTGCTGGTTGCTCTGCGGTTTCTGCTGGTTGCTCTCTTGGTAATTGTTCTGCGGGCCCTGCTCAGGAGTTGTCTTTCCTATAAAATAGAATTGTCCTTGGTTGTTCTTCAGCAGCTGATCAACCTTGGCTGTCAACTCGTCTATCTTGTGGGTGTCGACACTATTCAACTTTCTGGAGCGATTTATTTTTGGGTTCTTATTTGCAGAACTAGCAGCCATGTTCTCTATCAGTTCGAACGCACCATCAGGGGTCTGTGTCATGAAATCTCCTCTGCTCGCAGAGTTCAGAGCAGTATGAAATTCCCAGTCTACTCCTTCATAGAAAATGCCTAAGAGGTAATCATCATCAATTCCATGGTGAGGGAATTCTCTGAGATAGTCATTGAAGCGCTCCCATACATCGCAAAAAGACTCATCAGTGAGCTGTCTGAATGAGTTGATCCTGCTCCTGAGAGCAGCTGTTTTTGCCTTCGTGTAGAAGTGGCTCAGAAAGGTTGCTCTGACATGTTCCCATGTAGTGAGAGAGCCGGTAGGGAGAGATTTCAGCCACTGTGCAGATTTTCCCTCAAGAGAGAATGGGAATAGCATGCACATGATGTAGTCTGGTGGCACGACATTCGCAAGTGAAACTGTAGATTTTTTTGAAGCTCTCAATATGCTTTATTGGGATCTCTGCTGGGACACCACTGAACACCTTGCTAAGCACTAAAGCAATCAAAGCAGGCTTGATCTCGAAGTCATGTCTGGTGCAAGGTGGAGGAACAATGGCAGAGCACGTAGCAGAGATGTTACGCGGTAGGTTTCGCTCACTGATTGGAGCAGCATGCGCCTGCTGTTCCTGTTGCGCGAGAGCAGCTTCTTGTAGGATGGTCTGCTGCATCTGGAGCATTTGCTGTTGCATCAGTTGCATTGCTGCAGCGAGATCATCTTGATGGCCGTAATCACCCATGGTGGTGTTGGTTGGCCTTGGCTATTGTATGTCCTCTCTTTTCTAACCTTGTGTGCTCTTGGTTACTGAGTGTACCTGCAACAAAGAGAAATGAGCAAGTTAGAGGTGTTAGAATAAATAAATAAACGAAAAATAAAGGTAAAAAGATGGTCTCTGGCAACGGCGCCAAATTTGATATGCTCAAATTAACCTTCAAGCTACTCTCTCAAATAAGAGGTTCGATATGTAGTACTTGAGGATCGCATCCACACAGGCCAAATCTTACACTTTATTTCTTTGGGATCAATATTAAGGTAAGATAAAGAATGGTTTTTAAATTAAGAAAATAAAACAAGAAAGTAAAAAATTTGATTGGGGTTTTCAGATGATGAAGAATGCTAGCCTAGGATGCTTCATTGGGTGTTAACATGATGAACCAAAAAATTATTCAAGCTCGGTTAAGAACAGTCTAGAACTCAGATTTGTTAACTAGAGCACCTTGCTCTCGCAGGTATGCTCCTTTTGCGGAGTGAGCATGATACCTATGCTCTCGCGTGGATCAACGCTCGACAGCAAACAATAAACACCGACCTAATATGCTCACATCACACCTTGATATATACTCTCGCTGATCAGGGATATGATGCTCGTTTATAACAGATCTAGCAATCTAATTCATGTTTAATGATAAAAGGTTAAACCTAGATTCAAACACTAAGTGATTAGATTAGTATTAGCATTAAGAGTAGCTATAAAACGAAGATAAAGAGATGAAGCTTATCTATGTTCAGTTCATGAATCAACACCCTAGAACCCTAGACTAACAAGATCGACTACTCAGTCATAACAACTGAGAACACAGAGTCAAGAGATGAAGAAGACATGAATATTATTGCAGATAAAATATAAATAGGGTTCAGAGGATTCTTCTCTAAATCGAGAGAGATGGTCTTCTCTCTTTACAAATATCAAAATCACAATATCCAAAAGCTCTAGAGTTTCTTGTCTCTGAAAAGAAGCGTAGAGTGTCAAAGAAAATCAGAATAGAATCTCTCTCTCTGCCACATGCGGCTGGAAGAAGGAAATAAAGACTAGGGTAAATCCCGAAATTAATTAGAAGTTTCCATAATTTTTTGGGAGCAAGCAGGGGTTGCTTCGTTAGGGTGCTCTCGCACAGAAGGAGCAGGCAGGCGGTTGCTCTGTTTGGGTGCTTTGCGACAGAAAACTTCCAATATTCATTCTTTTCTTCATGTGTCTCTCCAAAGGTCTCATTACTTACTCTAGTCCTGTAATGACTCAAAAAGGACTAGAAAGACTCGATAAAGACTTGAAAACAACTAAGAAAACATATATACAAGATGTCAAAACACCATATATCAAGGTTTTAGAGTATAGAGTTTAGATTTAGAGTATGGGTTTGGGTTTAGAGTCTAGGTTTGGGTTTTAGGATATAGGATTTAGATTCAGAATATAGAATTTTGATTTAGGGTATAATTTTTGTTTAGGGTTACGGTTTGGATTTAGGGTTTATCTAGCGGCGTTAGCGTCATTAAAATTGACGTTATTATTATTATTTTGCTATTTTGGTTTTAAAAAAATATATTTAAAATTTTATTTATTAATTTATGTGCCATTATGATTGGTTATTAAATGTGTGGTGGATTTAAAAATTTATCATATAGATTGAACCTAAGTTTTGTTCTTCTGTTAAAGCACTATTATCGGGGGATGTTAGGGGGTGCTTAGGACAAAAGTTAAGGGGAGGGGGGGCACATAAAAAACAGAATTCGGTGCTTCTAATGTCAAATTAAGCATTCGATTGCCGTTATTGCTTGGCCTGTTCACGGGCCCCATAACACGTGGCGACCCGCGATTGATTTTTTTGATATTTTTTATAAATCCGAATAAGAAAAAAAAATTATAGGAAAAAACTGCTTTTAGTTATTAGGAAAAGCAAATTTATAGGATTAAAGACCCCAAATAGTCCTTAACCTATTATAATTTTTAGTTCCACCCCCTTCTCTTCTAGCTAAAACAAAATTATCCATTGTCATCACTAATCAAAATTTTATAACGGAAAAGATTATTGGCCATTATTAAACAACGAGTTCTACTAGCTTTTGTGGTCAAAGTAATCTATTGACATCTAATCAATCCCACGTGTCGAAAACTCCACACATGAAGAAAAAGAGCAAAGGACATGCACATGCATTTCATACACCCCACCACCGTGCTCTCTGCTTATATTATTATCGCCCCTTTCTCTCTCTCTCTTCTTCTTCCCCTCTTACGAAATCTGAGAGAGAAATAACATCTCTAATCTATTAGAAGTAATATGATCGGACAGCTTATGAACCTTAACGCGACGGAGCTCTGTCTTGGCCTCCCCCGCGGCACTAAAACCGCCGAGAGCCCGGCCAAATCGGCGCTGAGTAACAAGAGAGGCTTCTCCGAGACCGTTGATCTCATGCTCAATCTTCACTGCAACAAAGAAGTAGCCGTCGATCTTAACAACAACACCATAGCTTCCAAAGAGAAGACTCTCCAAAACGACCCTGCTAAGCCTCCTGCTAAGTAAGCTATACATACATATACATACATACATGCATATATGAATACTGGATTACAAAATTTACATCTCTATATCTCTACATCTCTAAGTTCTTGGCTACGTATACCAATCTTCATCACTAATTTTTATGAAAAATCCAATAGTTATACTCCAATATACTAATTTTGTGACTAATTCAGTAAAACATTAAAAAAAATCTTGAAATTTGTACTACGTACACACCCACACACACACACACACACACACACACACACACACACATATATATATATATATATATATATATATATTATCACATAGATAACTTCTTCAACATATATCTATAAATTGAAGTTAAGAATTATTTTCTAGCAAACTTATAAAAGAAGTCATTACCAAAAAAGGAGAAAGAATTAAGCTTGGTTGATGCTTAAACACTAATTTATAGATGCGTACAAGCAAAAATTATATTTACATTTATAATTTAGCCAACATAGCAGAAAATGATAACATTGATTGGTTAACTATTAACACATATATAACTATCGTTGTTGTATGTAGGGCCCAAGTAGTAGGATGGCCACCCGTGAGGAACTACAGGAAGAACATGATGACTCATCAGAAGACAAGCGGCACGGAGGAGGCCAGCAGCCAGAAAGCCGGAAATGGTGGAGGAGCCACCGGAGCTGCCTTGGTGAAGGTATCCATGGACGGAGCTCCCTACCTAAGGAAAGTTGACCTCAAGATGTATAAAAGCTATCAGGATCTCTCTGATGCTTTGGCCAAAATGTTCAGCTCCTTCACTATGGGTACGTGCAAGAAACTCACAGATCTTTATCATTACGTAAATCTTATTTATGTGTACAAGATGAATGGTAAATTTGGATCATCACATCTTAAAAAGACTAGATTAAATTAAGTGTGTGAGTTAACTTTTGGTATATATTTTAAGTATATAGAAGCGCGTAAATTTTATATAATTTGTGAATGTCCTGAATAACTTCAAGGAAACTACGAATCACAAGGAATGATAGATTTCATGAACGAGAGCAAGCTCATGGATCTGTTGAACAGTTCTGAATATGTTCCAAGCTACGAGGATAAAGATGGCGACTGGATGCTCGTCGGCGATGTCCCATGGGTGTGAGTAGAATTTAATCCCTACTTTTTTCATAATTTTAACTAATAGCTCGACTCATTAACAACGTTTTAGTAGGGAATAAGACAAATATATTCAAACTCCATGTGTTACAGAAACGTACAACCATGCATTGGTTGGCAAGAGATAAGAGGATCTTTCAAATTATGATTGTATCGGTAACTTTTATTTAGCTCATTCGTAGCTGGCACAATCAACTTCTTCTCACCACATTATTGCATAAAACCTTAGAATAAACTTTAAATGTTAACGACTCCTACACCAATGTTATAACTGAAAACATGAATATTTATTTCAGAATGTTTGTCCAGTCGTGCAGACGTTTGCGCATCATGAAGGGGTCTGAAGCAATTGGACTTGGTAAATCTATTTTTTGTCAGTATTACTTTTCTATCTTTCAAATAAAATAAATTCACTTTTCTTGGTTTGTTATAGCTCCGAGAGCAATGGAGAAGTACTGCAAGAACAGATCATGAATTATGAAATAAGAAGAAAAAGAACCATCAACGTTCAACCATATGGCGTGTTCTTGATTTGTATGTATTTTTATTATCTAATATGGCTATCCCCTATGTATGTGTTGTAATTCAAATACTTTATGGGTATCTAGGGCAATAGTAGTATTTTACCAGGAAGATGTGGAAAAAATTGTAATGTGACCAAAAGAGATGAAACTTAAAAGTCTCTGTGTTTGTGTCGTTTTTGTGTTTGTGTCGTTTTTATTGTCCCATCATGCTTCTGTCGGTTTAATGATCAATAACTAATCGATATATGCATATATAGTGTATGTATGTATGTATGTATATGTACATGTGTTTTGATCCCTACTAAAGCATGTAACTCTGTCGGTTAAATGATCAATCACTAATTGATATATGCATACATTTATGTATTTATGTGTAGATACATGTGTTTTGATCCCTACTATGCTTCTTGTTGTCTCTTTGTGTGTGCTGTAGTATCCTGTTTACAAAGATGAATAGTTAGCTTTTACGTTTCTAAATTTTTAACAAATCACAGGCTTTATATTTATGAAACAAAACTTACTTCTCAGCCTATTCAACTACAACATATCTTGGGGTTCACCCCTAGATTTATCATCCAATAGAATTACATTATTTCATATTTGATATTTTTTCAATAGCTTTCGTCTGGTCACGATACATCACCATCATAACCCTGTAATGCTTCATGGTCTCGAACTTACCCCTCTGGTAAGCCTCCTTCACAGTTTCTTCTTTTTTCCTCCATGAGTTGACCTTTCATTTTGAGATACTTATTACCTGCCATTGAGATACTTCTCAATGTTCAAGAAACAAAATATTAATTTTAGAAAATAAATATAACAAATAAGGAAATATAATAAACCGTAAGATATAACATAAATTAATTATGAATATTTGTAATCCCAAATTTATTTCCTCTAAATTTAAAACTATTAATACAATATTCATAGAACGAAAAACAAAACAGTAACTGAAAATCTAATCCTACACTGCCAATATTCAATAAAAAAAGATTTATAACCTAGAGACGGTTTACAATTCAAGGCAGAACAGATCTAACAACAGAAAGCATGTCTTATATGCTTTGGGATGAAAAGAACAAAGAAACAAACTACATATTTTAGGAAAAAATATGGAAATATAGTAAACCCTAAATATTTATTATGTAGATGTAAGATCTAAGATAAATGCATGTAAAATATATATATAAACACCAAAAAATTTTCTATAGTTACATCCACAAAATTTAACAGGATTATATAAAATATTCAGACAATGGAACTGATACTATAACCCTAGAATGACAATATTCAATAAACTATGAACAAAGAACCTTTTATGACAGTTTATTCTAGGCAGATGATTCGAAACAGACTAAGATAGAACAGATCTAACAACATAACAACATCTCTTAACGAACAAAAGAATAGACAGAACAATGAAAGAAAATCGTACCGTTTTCTGATGAGAGAGAGATAAATGAAGAATATTATGGTTATTGTAGTCAATCGAAGAGTCTTATATAGATAAGAACTAAACCTAAAGATTAGTAGGTTTCAAGGCTTAACATAAATAGGTAATCTGACTAATAGCCCATTATATATTAATAATTAAGAAGCCCAATATAATTGGGTCAAAAATTGGCATCTATTTTTGAAATGGATTAGATAAAAAATTATATGATTCGATGAAATACATGATCATGTTCATTATGAGATATTTTTTAGATATAAAGTCGAATGATTTGGTAGTTAAATTGTATAGATTTGGCTTCATGGTATCATATTCGGTTCATAATATAATATAGACTTTTGAAAACGAAAGTTAAACTAAATTTTAGAGATCAAATTCCTGAATTGGAAATGCATTCTAAAGTAGATCAAATATAAAATTGAAAACAACATTATTGAAAAAATCAGAGATTCTAAAAGATCTCTTTGTAAATGACATTCAATGTTTGTCTCTGAGGCTTCCCTTCATCGTCCACAATTAAAATCTTCAACCCCTTTTTGGATGTAACTCTTGAAATAGCCACATATAATTGGCCATGAGAAAAAACATGCCTTGGTAGGTAGATGCCCACTTCTGATAGAGATTGTCCCTGACTCTTATTGATTGTAATAGCAAACGCAACAGAAATAGGAAGTTGCGTCCTCCTCATCTTGAAAGGTAACTTCTTGTCAGAAGGGGTAATAGCAAGCCTAGGAATAAGAACTACTCGACCAACCTTATCCTTATCTCCTGTAATAACTTTTGCCTTTATAATGTTAGGGTACATCTCTGTAACCTGAAGTCGCGTCCCATTCATTAATCCGCCAGTGGGATCTATGTTTCTGAGTAACATAATAGGACAACCAATTTTTAAGCGAAGACTCTGGTTTGGCAAACCTGAGAGTTTGATGGTATTTAAGAAATCTAGAGTAAGAGCTTGATCGTTAACTGAAAATTTATCTGAAGCACCTATCGTATCAGAACTTAAGAAGATCATTTCCTCACCTGAAATATTTATAAATAAATTATTATGTTAACTTGATATATGAATATACAATAATAAAATAATATTGATAACATAAAAGAAATAACTAACCATCGAGTTTTATCCAACATGTGTTGATTAATCTTCTCGACATCCTGGTTAGTTGGACATAGTATTGCTCTCTCTTGGAAAAACTTAGGCTCTTTATTCTGCTGTAAAGAAACAACATCACCATACACAGCTTGGCTTATAGACTCAATAGGATCTTCTGCATCAAGAATAAGAAACTCTTCAGGAATATCAATTAGAGCCTAGCCATCATTGTTGTCACCTATATTTCCATCTCCAACATCTAATATCCACTTTGAAAACTCTTCCAAATCTCTAGCTTCTTTAGAAGATAAATCGTTAGACATCAACCTCATATTTTTTGTCAGCTTCAACACTTTAACATGCTTCCAAAGATAAGAAGAATTTAAAGATGCCAAAACAATTTCAGCTCTTCTAGCTCCATGAATTACAGGCAAAACCTGTCTAAAATCTCCCCCTAAGACAACAACTTTACCACCAAAAGGTAAATTATCATTATTCCCAATAATGCCAGCCATACTCATCTCCAATGATTCAAAACAATGCTTGCTCATCATCGGGGTTTCGTCCCAAATAATCAGAGAAGCTGCTTTAATCAAATTCGCTTGGTCTGTTCCGTGAGTTAGTGTGCAAGTAGAAACTCATCTGGATTAAGTGGTATTCCAAATTTAGAATGTGCTGTCCTTCCCCCTGGTAGTAGCAAAGAAGAAATTCCACTTGATGCAACGTTTAAACAGATTTCTCCTCTGTATCTAATAGCAGCAGACAACAATCTCCACACGAATGTTTTCCCAGTTCCACCAAACCCATAGAAAAAATACACCTCCTTTCTTTTCTAAGACAGCACTAAGAACCTCATCATATATCTTTCTCTGCTCGTTCGTCATTTTTTCAAAATCAAGATCGTGATCAGCTTTTAACTGCTCTTTGTCATATCCAAGCACGTCCATAATCAAAACATTCTCCTGGAGTGCAAAATGAGCTATTGGCTTTGACATAGATTCCCATGCCTCTAAAGAAGTACCATTCCTCTTCAAAATCTTCTCAATCTCGTGAAGAGTTAGCTGTTTTATCTCCTTTTCACTCAAATATAAATCTACAAAACTTTAATGCCTCCGATTAATATTGTGTATACGGGACAAAAATTATTAGACTGTAATATTGGAGAGTAAACATACCTGGTCTATTTAATAGCTTTTTCGACGATACTCAATATCTTCAGATAATAATTCCCAAACGTTTTTCCAAACAACTTCTGGCTTCAAAAGACTATCAGACATGAGCATGATCACAAAACATTGACGCATATATGACGCCGAGCCTGAAAAACTTGTCCTCACAATATCATCAATGTATTCCTGGTCGTCTTCTAATAAACCTCGAGCAAAGCATGTCTCTTTGTAAGACGAATACTCAACATTGTTAAACGTTCTAATATCCTCGTAACATTTACAACCTCTTACAATATTCAAGAGGACACGCATATAAAATGCTTGTTCAATTTTTCTTGGGGCGTAGTTGATTCTACCAATACTGAATCCTCTTTTTCTATCAGTAAACTTGCGTTGTTTTTTATTCCAGATAAACCAAATATGAATTTCAGCTAGAGTGAGTGTCCGAGCAAAAGCATTTACCTTGTTTAATTCAAACCAGCCCAAAAACGTGGTATCTTCAATCAGAACACGGTTTGTAATCTCTTCATATTTGTCATCATCTTTGAAAACAAAAATTTGTTTTCCAGGTAAATGAAACTGAATTCTCTCAACTGCTATGGAACGATCGTGTATAGAGAACTTAAAAATTCTCCAAGAACCTTCAGATGCTGATACATACATAATAAACACATTTATCATTTTAATAAACTATGTATACGAAAATAACTCATTTAGATTAATATACACATATAACTATTAGACAAATGCCTGCAGTTAAAGAAGTCTTTGATTTCGTTTTTCTTCTCCTCCGTTGAAGCAGGTTCAGTAGAGACATTCTCAACATTTTTTTTTTTGGTAATCTTCTCTCTACTTTCAACAGCTACAGTACACCGATCCTGACCTTTATTAATATACTTAAATAAGTACTTAATAGAGCCAGTCTGGTTACACCATTCAACATTAATGTGAGCTCTATACCGAAGTAAGAGTTTCTTGTTATAAGGAATGACATATGTATTGTCACATTTGAAGTCATTTTTCTCAACGAAATTATCAGACTGTTCTCTTCTTTGGTAGACAGAAATCCTTCTCTATTAACCGTTGTCTTCTCAGCAAACGCTTTAGGATAGAGCTTAGAACATTTACCATTCTCCATGCAAGGAGAATTAATGTTGACAGCTCCACAAGTACCATGAATCATCATATCTTTAACAACTTGGTATAGGTCAGGTTCCTTCTCTTTATCAGGAATTTCAGCTGAGATGATATTGTCGATATCTTCGGTTTTAGGAAACTTAGAGCCAGGTGCCATAAACAGTAGAATGTGAGCATGAGGGAGACCATGTTTCTGAAATTCAATGGTATACATTTCTGCATTAGAAACAAACNACCATGAATCATCATATCTTTAACAACTTGGTATAGGTCAGGTTCCTTCTCTTTATCAGGAATTTCAGCTGAGATGATATTGTCGATATCTTCGGTTTTAGGAAACTTAGAGCCAGGTGCCATAAACAGTAGAATGTGAGCATGAGGGAGACCATGTTTCTGAAATTCAATGGTATACATTTCTGCATTAGAAACAAACAGGAAAGTTAAAATAATAACTTGGAAAATTAGCAAGAAGAAATGATCATATCTAAAA